CTCGATTGAGAGAGACACATAGAGAGAGAGAGAGAGACAGAGAGAGACATACAGAGAGAGACACACAGAGAGAGACACACACGTAGAGAGACAAAGAGAGACACAGAGAGAGAGAGAGACAGAGAAAGAGACAGAGAGAGAGAGAAACAGAGAAAGAGAGAGAGACAGACACAGAGAGACAGAGAGAGACACACACACACACAGACACTCAGAGAGAGAGAGAGAGAGAGAGAGAGCGAATTTTGATAAACCGTTCTTATCAGTTTCAATGAATTGTAACAAACAAATTAGAGAATTCTTAGTTTTCAAAATGATCAAAATAAATCAAAACATTGTCGTTATCATGGCTTTATTTCTGGCGGTACGCAAACCGGCACCTTTTTTTTAGCTAGAATTATTAACACGTCCGTGGTAGGCATTTTGTGGGAGTACCGGCACCTTTTTTAAGACACAATCGAGTGAGTACCTCATCTTTTTACTACAACATCTATGAAGTCAAACTGGTAACCAAAGATACTCTCAAAATATCTATGAAGTCAAACAGGTAACTAAGCTACATACAATTACTGATCACAGCATGCTTTAAAAAGTAGTAAGAAAGACGATGCAAAAATACATTGCATTATCCTGTTTGTTTAGGGGCTGCGTTAGCGCAGTCGATACGAGACTCGCTTTCAAATCCAGCTGCGACTCGCTGCAGCACACGGGTCGGTGTTCGAAACCGGACGGTTCCCCGGGATCACCCAGCCTCTAGGAAATGAGTACCTGAGTTGACACTCTGGGGTGAATGGAAGAACGTCGCTTTAGCTACGGAGTTACGTGCGGAAGGCGACACAGACGGACAGTTTCTTATCAGCTAGAAAATGGAACTGAGCTTCTGAAAATGTTGATATACCATAGAAAAGATCTCATTTCGTTAGGAAAAAACAATCGACCGAGAGACTGCGAATGAAAAGAGTCTCTGAAAGAAATATATAAAACACACACATACAAAGAGAGAGAGAGAGAGAGAGAGAGAGAGAGAGAGAGAGAGAGAGAGAGAGAGAGAGAGAGAGATAGAGAGAGAGAGAGAAGGGGAGAGGTAACTGAAATATTTCGGCCAAATTAAAATATGTAATACTCTTTTAAAAACCACCCTGGAGGGAAGTGTCGAAGACAAGAGAGCAAGAGGTAGACAACCAACCAAGTGGGAGGACAACATCAAGAAATAGGCGAACAGCAGTCTGAAAGAGCTCGCTGTCAAGACAAGAGACAGAGAGTGTTGGAGGCACATTGCAGCCAACCTTCATTGGGGAGACGGCAACTGACTGATCGATTGATATCGCAAAGTTGAATTTGTATGTGTGTGTGTTATGAAGTCACACACCCCTGAAATTTGTTCCTTGGAACCTGGGAGTTCTCAGAACAACACTAAAGGTTATTCAGTGTTGTCAATCGAAGACATGTTTGGGGTTTGTTTAAATTAAAACCGTAGCTGTATTTAGGCAAGCCATTTTCAATACTACAGTCAGGTTGTGGCACTTTATTTGCGCAACAAATGTAAAACCACCACCCGGAAATCACGACGAACGGTGCACCATTGCCGTATCGTCTGCCCGTGTCCACCATCGTTTATGTCTGCTGCTAGCCACCAACAGACCACGGCCACTTTGTCAGCTTCGTCATTTCTCATACACTGCAGCTATTTCGTGGTTCCGTATTGCTGTAAATGGTAATTACTATTTATTACCTGTGTTCACCACTGTGAACAAGTGTTTACTGTTGTAATGATAACTCATAATCACCTGATCGACTCACTCAATTCAATTAATTTAGTTTTAGTACTGTTCTGTTCTGAACTGTGTTCAGGTAAGGAAGGAGCCGAGCAGTATTTATTTGTGTGACTGTTTCTGGGGTTAAAACCCTGGCTGGTGTATTTATAGGGCATCGATCTCAGTGATTCAGTGATTCCACGGTTGTTGTCGTAATTAACAGATAGTGGAACAGAGTTGTATTAACATTACTTCACCGTAGTTATCCTATATAATAGTAAAGTAATATACAAATAACACTATTAGTACTAATTACTATTACGTAGTGTCTGTAGTACTAAAACACTAAGTCAAAGTACTACCTAGTTAAGAACTGTTAACTATTAATGAATAGATCAGATTATCGTGTGTCAGTATGTAGGGGTAACTAAATTGAAGTTTGTAAACAGAACCGTAAGCTGTAATCACAAAAAAATGAAGGTATTCTTAGGTACAAGTTCAGTGAAGATTACGTTCATTCAGTAAAATACTAAAAACATGACCTAAGTTTAGTAGGCCGCTGTTCTTTTAGTTCAAAAAAGCAATTTCTTTTATTACTGTTGATTTTCCTGGGTTAGTTTGTAAGTACTTTTTTTAATGATCATGCTCAACAACAAATAAAATGTGGAAAACCGGCATTTATGTATATTGTAAGAATAGATGAAAACTGATGAGAAAGCAAAATCATATGGCAAATTTATGCTAATCTTTATGTCTTTTAATTGATTCCACACATAGTATACCATTTTCATAAAGTATGTAATTTCACTGTAACGTTTTAAAGATTTGATTTAATGCCTGAGCTTTTTTTTAAAAAGATGCTTGTACATACGTCTAAACCGTATATAGACATAAGTATAACAGCATGTGATTTGTCAACTGCTAGTACTGAAAATGATAGACTAGTTATTACTGTAATGCCTAAATATAGTTTTTACCCCCCCCCCCCCCCCCCCCCCCGCTCAAAACAAATGTGGGAGGAGGGGGAAGGGCTGAGCAACCCCCACCCACTAATTTCGTAACAAGGTATAGAAGTGTATAGAAGTTATCTTTTAAGTATTTTTTCTGTTCATTACATATTTTTCTGCAGCCATGGTGTCCATACTTGGAATAGAACCTGTCTCCTCCACATGACGACAATGCCTTGCTGCAGAAACAAGTGTACTAAGGTGCATGATCAGCTGTGCACCCTAAAAAAAACTTGGGCAAAGGGGGGGGGGGGGTATTATTAACATGCTGAGTGGTAAATAAATATAATAATTTACTTAAAATAATATGAAATATGTCAACAAATACTTTGTACTTTAAAGGTTAACTTCTATACTTTGTCAAATGGGGCCTCTTGGTCCGCTAAACAATTGTTTAGGGCTCAGGGGACATAAAACCTCATGTTCTTTGTCTATGCTGGTACCCGCTGAGTTGGCCTGGCAGCTACGGTCAGTCCTGGTGCAGGCCCGAATCCAAAACCTTTACGCTAGCAGGTGTCTAACCATTGCACAGCTGCAGCTCCCACTCATGGTAGTACAGAAACAGAGATAGAAGGCACACTAGACAACATCAAAATCAAAAGATATAGTGACCAGACTGGTTAATGTTGTATATTATTTATGAGGAAACTGGAAATTTATTCCAGTCAGCAAATGGTAAGTGAAGTCGGATGTATCAGCCTAAAGGAGCAAATATCGCAACTGTGCTGTAAATAGCCACAAAACAGTTATGTCACTCGATTAACCAAAAAAAAAAAAAAAGATATATGTGGAAGAATTCATTTGTGATTACTGTAAAACAGAATTAATAATACTTTTTAATGTTCTCATCAGTGCTGGTGGTGACAGAATGCTTTTCATTTTAGTTCAGTCACACTGAATGCCTTTCGTTTTAGTTCACCCACACTGAATGCCTTTCATTTTAGTTCAGTCACACTGAATGCCTTTCGTTTTAGTTCACCCACACTGAATGCCTTTCGTTATAGTTATAACATGTTCAGAAATGTCTATTATTTAGTTAGAACAGATTGTCTTTTGTTGTAATTAAAACAGTAATTCTCAGTATAATGTCCATAGACAAGACTGGCTGTAACAATAAATGATGAAGAAATTAAAAATATCACAAACTTTAAATATCTGTGATCTATAATAAACAGTAATGAAAAGTTTCAACAGAAATCAAAAGGACGATGGCCATAGCAATACAAAAATAAACAGCATTAAAAGTCTGTAGTTGAGCACCAGTAAGGAAGTGAAAGTGAACATTCTGAGAGCATGCGTCTTCCCTGTAGAAACATACGGATGTGAGTCATGGACCATCTCCCAATCTTTGAGAAATAAAATAGGAGCTTTTGAGCTAAAATGCTGTAGAAAGATTCGCAGAATACCGTGGACAAAGAAGAAAAGAAATACTGACATTTTTAAAGATCTGAATATCAAGGAAAATTGGCTAATAATAGCATCTTGTCTCGGAAAGTTGAAATAGTTTAGCTAGCCACATCAAGCACCACAGCAGATTGGAAAAAATAATAGCAGAAAGCATGGTACTAGAAAGGGGGAGGGGGCGGCAGGGACCAACCAACGAGAAGATGGTCACAGAATATAAGTGACTCCTTGGGTATAAAAGTGCATGAGGCAGGAGAACTGGCGAGAGACTGAGTCTTTTTCAGGCAGACTGTGATGAGAGTGACATTCTGCAAAGGACCTGCTACATAATGATGATGATTTATGAGTATTTTCAGTGCTGTAACTTATTTAATCCTCTTCGTGATCAGTGTAGTCTCACAGTATTTCTGTATCATTGAGGTTTAAAAACCTTCGGTCAGCATTGGCAATCTAGCACTCTGTCTGTCTGTCTGTCTGTCTGTCTGTCTGTCTGTCTGTCTGTTTTATTTTATTTTTGTATTTTTACTGTCGGCTTATATGACAAGGAAATATATAATGTTATATGTAATGTGAAGAAATTGTTAAAGAATGCCTTTAGCACTAGATAAACATATAAACACATTGTTCAGAGTCTTTAGTTTTAGTTAAAACCCACTGTACAATGCCTTGTATTTTAGTATAAACATATTTTTTTAGAATGCCTTGTATTTCAGTTAAATTCTCAGTTTAAAAAAAACTAAACTTTTAAGGTAATGTTTTCACATGTTCATTTTTCAGAATAAAATTCAGCTGCAGACATTGAAGAAGAGACTTGGGTAGAAACTGTGCATGTTACAAGATGTCACCAATACTAGCTGCTGGCATTGTGTTTCTCTTTTTTGTGTGTGTCTTGGTCAAGCTTCTACATCTGACAGCTGCTGCCTCAGCCCCTTTGATATATGCTAAAGACAGGTCTACACAGTTTGTACAGTCTGTCCTGACACTGTGTCCAATATTGCAGCAGACGTGAGTATCCAGCATGTTTGTTAATCAGAATTTATCTTGATTTAATAATTTAGTTTCCTTCTTATCATCATCATCATCATCACTTTTATCATCAAGAGTAAGAGGGAGGAATAGTTAATAGGCAAATGGCACTGTTTATGTGAAGGAACATCTCTCTTGTCATCAGCCCATATATGTTGGATTTACCCTGGTGCCCTTTACATGGTTAAATTGGTGGTTTGTCTTCAGCGTCTCATCTCACAAGTGTTTATTTTACATATGTGAATTTGAGATGTGGTTCTTTAGAAGGATGTTGAGAATACCTTGGACTGCCAGAATAACTAACATTGAATTTCTGGAAACGGCTAATGAAAGTAGAACATTATTGAAAGTAACAACATTATATACAACAATGAGAAGGAGACAAACAAAGTTCTTTGGTCATGTAATGAGAAAAGGAGCACTGGAAAATATCGTGACGACTGGAAAGATCGCTGGTAGAAAAGGCAGGGGCAGACCAAGAGAAATGATGGTGCATGGCTTAAGACAGTGGCATGGAGGAATATAATCAGTAGATTTGATCCAGAACACCATACACCGAGATCTGTGGCACGCTTGAATGCCTACACCAGCTGCCAAGGCACTTGATGATAATGTCTATAAGTTTTGCACTGGTAGCATAACACATGTACACATTTGCTGTTTGAAATGTATGCTTTGCGGACATAGTTATGTTTGGATGCCTTATTTACTGTGCCAGTTGGTATTTTTTACATCTAATTTGAGTTTCTCTGTTCTGCCATCCACTGTGATTATGCTTCTTACATATTTGAATTCTGTAACCTGTTTCACAGACATACTTTTGAATTCTATAGATAATATAGGAGAATCTACAAGAATACTTGGTTATGCAGATTTCTCTTTTTTTTTTTTTTTTTTTTTTTATTGAACACCGGCTGTGAATTCCAGTGGAAGGTCCCGGTTAATCGTCCGCTTGGACTTTTGGCTTTCACCTGGACCTGATTTTTGCGTGTACAACCGTTTTTCATTTCCCTGCCTCTTGGGCAGCTGTACGCCGACTTCGAAGGAAGACGTCAGGCCTATTTCTAGGGTGACTGTGGCCATTGTTTTGTGTGGGTCGAGACTTTGCCTGATTTGTGTGGTGTCCGCCTTGTCTCCCTCGCCGCAGGTATTGCCCCCGGAGTACCCCTTTGGGGCAGCCCCCTGTGGAACAGTTGGCCCTGAAGGGAAGGCAGGGGCAGATCATGGGCATTCCCCGCCATCCAAGGAGGCTTCCATGCATGCAGAGCCGGCACATGGCGCTCTGGTTCTGGGCTCACCCAAGGAATCGTCACGTCCTGCACATGCCTGCTTAACCTCACAACCGTATCAGGCCTCCCGCTCGACAGGGGCTGCGCCCTCTGGAAGTCAGCGGGGAGCAGCCCGTGGGTTTTGGACTTTTGTGACCACACAGATAGGTACATTAGCCCGACAGAATTTCACATCCTGAATCAGGCATATCGTTATCAGTTTTGTCCCAACACTCGGGCACCTCAGCGCGGTGACGACGACACTGAGAATTAACCGAGGATGAGCATTGAGCAATGTTCTCTTTACTCAGCAGTCTTTTAACCAAGGGTTGTAATTTTAGCTGTACTTTTGTCAAACCTACCCATGTTCCTGGTGAGTTTTGATAACATTTTTCACCCAAGCGTTTGGGGGCGGGCTGATGAGAGCCACAAGGACACATCACCTCTGGGGGCCGCCAAACTCCGAGATCCCCTGACAGCTCTGTTAATGCTCATTTGAGACATTATCCGTGGCGCACGACGAGGACGTGCTGTAGGGGTCTTGCGTGAGGTTCCGTACAACCAGGATAGTAAAGGACTGGCGCCTGAGTGACGTACGGAGTATCTCCTTATACACATCATGTTGGACTTAACTTCCCCTCACGCCTGTGACATAAATCACCGCGCCACGGTTATGCAGATGATATTGATATCGTTGGAGAAAATGAACTAGAGACTGTTATAACACTGACTCTCTTAAAATAATCAGCTCAGAAAATGGGACTAGTTATCAGTCAAGATAATACAGAATACATGATAATAACTTGGCAGGGAAAGGATATAAACTCTAGCCACATACAAGTTGATAATATGAAAATATGAAAATAAAACTAATGGAAACATATAAGTACTTTGGTGCAAACTTCAACTACTCCAACATGCTGAGAGTCTACAGTCTATAATACAATCTGGAAATAAAGTATACTATGCCCTTCAACATCTGCTAAAGTCAAAGTGTCTGTCTCGCGACACCAAGATCAAAATATATAAAACCATATATATATGGACCACTGAATAAACTAACAACGACAGTGAAATTTATACAAGATACAAAATTGCTGATATAGACAACTTATTTCAGGCGAACGAAAGAAGAAGAAGAAGAAGAAGAAGACAATAACTTATCTGTATAATATTATGAGGTAACCATGAAAGAACTGCATGAATGCCTCTATAGAACCAGAGCCGCATGAACAAGGCACTTCAGTAGTATCAGATGAATTTACACATTAAAACAGGAGTGGATATTTTATACAGTAAGAGATCATCAAAAAGCCTAACAGCTGGCTTCTCAACTGTTATGATCTCCACAGCGTTCACCCATTCATGTGCTGAGACCTCTCCATGCCACATGTTTCTCTCCCCACATTGTAACCAAATATGGAAACTGGATTTTTCTGATATTTGTGAGTTTGTTTGTTTGACTTAACCTCTTTCAAAATATTTGGGTTACTCTTTTTGGCTATCAGCGCTGAAATGATATGAACATATGGCTGTAGTGTCAGTCTGAGAATAAGATAAATCAAGTTTGTCTTGAAGTGTGAAACAACCTTGTGCCTGATAACATAAATCATGTGGAGAGAACCTCTGCAGTCATTAAATGGGTAATAAACAAATGGACATGTACTAGTTGGCACTTACAGATGTAGAGGGAAGAAGTACAGATTGGAAGAAACACTAAACAACATGAAAAGAAAAATCATGTTTTTTACGACAGGTTTAGAACCTGTCACCTCATAATGATGATGGCTGCTAGCTGCAGGAGCGGCTGTTCTTTATTGCAGGGTCATAAATTCCTGCAGTGAGGATTTCTTTTTTGTTTGGAGTTATTGTAAATAAGTAGCCAGGCTTCTATAATAGAATTCTCTGATCAAACATTATGTCAGGTGGTAAGTTGTTGGTGGACATGGATACTTGTTGGTCACACAAAGTGGATTTCTAGGTGCTAAAACATATCTCCTGTCACATAACCTGTTTGCAGATTTCAACCTGCATGCACTAGCTCAAACAATACACATGAGAGCATACACAGAGAGCATATACAGAGAACCTACATATAGAGCATACACAGAGAACATACATAGAAAACATACACAGAGAGCATACACAGAGAGCACACACACAGAACATACACAGAGAGCATACACAGAGAGCATACACAGAGAACACACACAGAGAACATACACAGAGAGCATACACAGAGAACATACAAGAGCATACACAGAGAACATACACAGAGAACAAACACAGAGAGCATACACAGAGAGCATACACAGAGAGCATACACAGAGAACATACATAGAGAACATACACAGAGAACATACACAGAGAACATACACAGAGAACATACAAGAGCATACACAGAGAGCATACACAGAGAGCATACACAGAGAGCATACACAGAGAACATACACAGAGAGCATACACAGAGAGCATACACAGAGAGCATACACAGAGAGCATACACAGAGAACATACACAGAGAACATACACAGAGAGCATACACAGAGAGCATACACAGAGAACATACACAGAGAGCACACACAGAGAACACACACAGAGAAAATACACAGAGGGCATACACAGAGAGCATACACAGAGAGCATACACAGAGAGCACACACAGAGAGCACACACAGAGAACAGAAATTGGACTTTAATAAAACTTAAGTGTGACAATCAATAATAATGAATATATAATGGTAAAAACAGTCAGGCATGACTAGGGTGTTCAAAGATGCTGTGGTGTTGATCAATGCAACATCTGAAAGTGAGAGCTGATCTCACAGTGGGAGCTAGAGAATGAGTATGTGTGCAGCTGGCTGCATTGTTACATGAATAATATACAGAAGACAAATATTACTGTTCATAGTTTATAGAGAATGCCTTGTGACACCATACCATACAAAGCATACATGGAAAGAGAAGAAGGACGTAGAGCACGGGGTAGACCAAGAACAAGATGGAAGGATAACATCAGAGAAACTCTACAACAACACGATGTGCCTATGGTCGAGGCAGCCAGAAGAGCTAGAAACAGAACCTTATATCTCCCTCGACACCCACAGCGGTAAAAGAGGAAGTGAAGAAGAAGAAGAAGAAGATAGTTTATTGTGCACAGTAGATTTAATATTTGGGGCAGTTTTTGCCAATTAGATCACCTCTAAAATTCCCATACATTTTAATTCTTACTGCTGTGTAGTCTTGAAGTTCCTAACATTCTTCTATAGAACCCTATCTCAGCAGCCTCTGAATAATAAAAATGCACCCATCTGATGTTAACTTTTCTTCTTCTTCTTTATGTTCACCTGCTGTAAATTTCAGCTAAAAGTCATGAGTCTCATCTTCTTCAGGACTTTGGTCTTGTTCCAGAAATTATGTTTTGTGTGTGTGTAGATCTGGCTTATTTCTGTGCAGACTGTTGGTTCCTTACCTTTCAGGCAGATGTACTCAGACCTAGAAGGAGACATCCCTAATTAGTTGCCATGTATGACCTGCTTTTTAGTGGGCAATAGGCCTATTCACCTCCACCCACCCCACAATAGGGCATCAGAACCCACAGGGTGAGTTATCTGTATTGTCTGTGTGGGTATTTTCAATCATTTACCTTGCATTTTATTTGTTCTTATTACTATGATTGTTATCTTCTGTTTTTTTAATTTCTGCCTGCCATTACTTCTGGGTTTTTAATTCTATTTTTGAGTACATTCGTCCTTTTTAGGATGAAATTTTTCATTTATTGAAGCCCTACTCTGGCTTTTGCTAGGTGCCGCAATATAGCCCGGCCATAAATATGGCCTAATGGCTCAATGCGGCTTTTGGCACCTCTCCTCAGCGATCCTCACCCACATGGTGGCGCTGCGTGTCATCGGGTGTTTTATCGCTTGTGTGATGTCCTAGTGGGGTAGAAAGTCAGTCAGTCAACTCTGTTTAGACTGAAGCTTGCGCTTTTTATATCTCTTGGTATGAAGTCCACCATTTTAACTAACAGAAGAGTCAGAATGCCAAAAATAACTGATGACCTAACTTGTGTTATTTGTGTTGTCTGTTTAATATGCATGTTGATGATTACTCCAGCTACTGAAAGACCAGCATGTACAGCCAGTTTCCTGTCCTCTGTTCCAGGTATGTGCCGCCTCTGTTATGGGGCAAGAGTGGCCACATTCAGACCTTTGTTTATGCCAGGATGGGGCGTGTTAATATGCCAGCTCCAAATGGTATACGTCACACAAAGATCATGTCTGATGGGGCTACATTAACATTTGACCTGCATGAACCCTTAGTGCCCCACGTAACAGGAGGTATGTTAAACAGTGCATGTCAGTCTTTATAGGGTGCAGTTATTAATGTTCAGTGTTTCATTCCTTGACAGTCACAACTGGTTAAACTGCTAGAGTTAGACTAGATGCACTTGTAACAGTACCTGGACCTGATTCTACTGGTGACCATGATAACGGCAAATGGAAGGTACAATAAAGAAGTGAAATGTAGAATAGCCCAAGTGAGAGCAGTTTGTCATTAGAAGGGCTACAATGAAATTCAGTGTTAAATAGAAAATGTGGAGGGAACCAGAAAAGGTGGAATATTTAGAAGATGACTAAACAGCTGGACATCCTAACCTGGAGACATATCTGTATGTAGAATGATTCATATGAGAGAGCTGGGGACTGCAGAATATTCTGTCTTGTATCTTTATCAGCAGAAGTGAGGAAAAGGGTTCTGAAAAGTTGTATAGAGCTAAATCTGATGTACAGAACTGAATCATAGACGGTCAGCAGATTGGCAAGCAAGTCTGTGGAAGCTGCGGAAATGTTGTCTTATAGAGGAATGATAAGGAAACCATAGACAGCCAACAGATTGTTGCAGTGTCCTGAAATGAATTCATCAAGAAAAGATATAAAACTGAATGAAAAGTATATAAGCAACCTTCACAGTATAACAAATACAAACAAAACATGAATGTTGCGGCTATTGAGCCTTCATCAGCACATACAAATGAAACAATACTACACAGAAAGACAAAATCAATTAGCTGGTATCTCGAAGCAGCCGGGTCGGTTGTTTCTCAGCAGAATGACTACACATGTCGGCTGGGGGAATAAATACCCTCTGTAGAGAACCAGGGGCCATAACTGGGGGGTTGGAGATAAAACTGTGAGGGCAGTTCACTCCCCTAGGAGTTCAAATAAAACTGTTGGCAATTCAGTCCAGAGGGTGTTAAAGTCCCCAAAGTATAAATAAAGCGATTCTCAAGAGACTTGCAGACTCTGTCGCTGTCATGGCTAGATTTAAAGGCTGTCCCCTCCATGTCGAGGACACCTTGGTGATCTTGGGAATTGAAGTGCAACGGTACTGGTTTCAGAGCGCCATTTTGCACATCTAAAAGATGTTGTCTGAACCTGTCAGTCAGCCATAGACCTGTTTCACCAATGTATTTCAAGCCACACCTCTAGCAGGTGATGGCATAAATGTCATTGCGGCTGGTACAATGAAATGCTTCACGTATGTGGAAGGTGGCATTAGGGAATTCTAGACTTGCCACCTGGACCACATATGGACAGGTTCTGCATTCAGGTCTGTGGCAAGAGACCATGACGAAGTGGGGCTCAGACGCGGGGCGTAACCTACTCTTGACTAAAATGTCCTTGAGGTTATGATCATGCCTGTAGGCAACTAGAAGAGATTCAGAGAAAATTGTGCTGGTGGCAAGGTCGGCTTAAAGGATGGAGAGATGCCTGAGGAAAATATTTTTGGCGTGGATGCTGTGAGGGTGGTAGGTAAGTGTGAGGATAGGTCTGCTGTGACGTTTCGGCTTGGAAGCGAGAGCTTTGGCACGATGGCAAGACCGTACGCGGTGAAAGGCGGCAGATAGGACATGTTCAGGATACCCTCGAAGCTAGAAGAAGTCCAGCATTTCCAGGGCCTTGTTGTGAAAGTCGTCGTGTTCTCCTGGCATAATCTGTGGAGGCGCTAATCTGGTTGAAATACTGGCCATTAAACTCGAACTAGTTTAGATATGAGCACCAGCTCGGCCAGATGGATCAAGGTGTCAGTGGCTATGGCAGGACTGACTCTCTGATCTAGAAAGAACCGCAAAGCCTGGAGGCCATCTAAATGTGGAATAGAGGTATAGAGGGAGGTAACATCTAAGGTGAAGATGTGGTACCTGGAAAAAGAGGTGAACCGGATATATTGAAAGATAGAGATGGCATGGTTGGTATCTTTGATGTAAGACCAGGGGCTGCAAAATACAGTCGAGGCACCTGGATATGAGCTCTGTGGGACAAGTGCAGGTGGACACGATCGGTCTAACTGGGTTATCCGGTTTATGTATCTTGGGAAGCATGTGAAGGCCAGGCTTCCTCAGACAACTGTCCTCGACAAATAGAGAGCTGGCCCGTGCAGGCAGAAGATCTTCCTGGATGAATCTCACTCACCTGAAATGAATTGATACAATGAGAACTTTTTGCCCTCATTAGAAGAAGCCAGTCCACACTTTTGAATCCATTTATGAGAGATGGAAAAGTGGAGTACATTATGGCAACAGGAAACTTGGCTATCCTCTGAATAATGGTCCCAGATTATCAAGGCTAAAAAAAAATACCCTAACAGGCCCTCAGTCATATGTATGTGGACCTCTTTCCTGCGACTACCATGGAAAAGCTTCCGCTGAGTTAAAGTCACCTCTGAGAGTTTCCCCCACCCCGCTTTTAGCTGCGCAGAGAGGGCTAAACTAGATGGCTGAGACTCACAAGCAGCAGCTACCACATCTCCTGCAGCTACCGCATCTCCTGCAGCTTCCTCTATTTTATTTGCTTGTGAGTCCTAGCCATCTAGTTTAGCCCCCTCCACGCAGCTACCCGTGGTAAACTCTCGGCAGTGGCGGAATAGTCGCCGGAAAGAGGTTCGCAATTCACGTATGACTGAGGCCCTGTTAGGTTATTTTCTTAACCTTGATAATCTGGGACCGTTATTTGGAGGATAGCCGGAAACTTTGATGAGTCACCGTCTGCCTACGTGAAAAATCTCTTGAGTATCTACACATATAATCAATGATCATCATTTCTGTAACGTCTCCACTTCCTGCAGAGTCCTACTGTTTGCTGTTCTGTCCTGGTATCGGCAACAACAGTGAGTCCCCTTACGTGAGGACACTTGTCCACTATGCACAGAACAATGGTTACATTGCTGCTGTTCTTAACCATATTGGCTCTCTGAAGAATGTGCCAATAACATCCCCAAGGATATTTACCTATGGTGAGTTCAGCAGCCACTTATTCAGTCTTTAAATTGTTTTTTATATTGTTGGTCATTTGTTAGTCATCACTGTTTTTATATTATTGGTCATTTGATAAGTCATCACAGTTTTTATATTGTTGGTCATTTGATAAGTCATCACAGTTTTTATATTGCTGGTCATTTGATTAGTCATCACAGTTTTTATATTGTTGGTCATTTGATAAGTCATCACAGTTTTTATATTGTTGGTCATTTGATAAGTCATCACAGTTTTTATATTGCTGGTCATTTGATAAGTCATCACAGTTTTTATATTGTTGGTCATTTGATAAGTCATCACAGTTTTTATATTGTTGGTCATTTGATAAGTCATCACAGTTTTTATATTGCTGATCATTTGATAGGTCATCACTGTTTTTATATTGTTGGTCATTTGATAAGTCATCACAGTTTTTATATTGCTGGTCATTTGATAAGTCATCACAGTTTTTATATTGTTGGTCATTTGATAAGTCATCACAGTTTTTATATTGTTGGTCATTTGATAAGTCATCACAGTTTTTATATTGTTGGTCATTTGATAAGTCATCACTGTTTTTATATTGTTGGTCATTTGATAAGTCATCACAGTTTTTATATTGTTGGTCATTTGATAAGTCATCACAGTTTTTATATTGTTGGTCATTTGATAAGTCATCACAGTTTTTATATTGCTGATCATTTGATAAGTCATCACAGTTTTTATATTGTTGGTCATTTGATAAGTCATCACAGTTTTTATATTGCTGATCATTTGATAAGTCATCACAGTTTTTATATTGTTGGTCATTTGATAAGTCATCACAGTTTTTATATTGTTGGTCATTTGATAAGTCATCACAGTTTTTATATTGCTGATCATTTGATAAGTCATCACAGTTTTTATATTGTTGGTCATTTGATAAGTCATCACAGTTTTTATATTGTTGGTCATTTGATAAGTCATCACAGTTTTTAAATTGTTGGTCATTTGATAAGTCATCACAGTTTTTATATTGTTGGTCATTTGATAAGTCATCACAGTTTTTATATTGCTGATCATTTGATAAGTCATCACAGTTTTTATATTGCTGGTCATTTGATAAGTCATCACAGTTTTTATATTGTTGGTCATTTGATAAGTCATCACAGTTTTTATATTGTTGGTCATTTGATAAGTCATCACAGTTTTTATATTGCTGATCATTTGATAAGTCATCACAGTTTTTATATTGTTGGTCATTTGATAAGTCATCACAGTTTTTTTTTTTTCATGGTCATTTGTTACAGTCATCACAGTTTGGTCATTGTGTGACTGATTTCAGTCCTAGTTAGAGTAATCACAGGGAAGTCATTACACTCTTAATGACACCCAGTCTTCACAAGAACATTACAGCATGAGTTACTCATTAACCATTTTGCCCCATTTAAATCTGAAAACATGACCTTTTGTTGACATTTCATAAGAAGAGCACATCCTTATCATTCTCTGAAACTCTGCTGAAAGAAACCAAGCACAGAGAAGATCAAGAAGAAGTAGGATTGTCTTGGTCAGTTTTTCAAACGTCTATGGGGTCGAACCCATAGACCTCTAGACCATCAGGGAAATGGTACATGAAGGACCCTGCTTCATCATGGCCATCAGGTCGTTACAAATTATGATTTGTTATTTGTTTCAATCGTTATAATTCACAAATACCAGAAAATGAATGTGTTTGTTTTTTTAAACCATAATAGAAATAATCACTAAATAAAGACAGAGAAAAGAACTGCTTTCCCTCCCTTTGACCATAATAAAGTGATTATGTTGCCATATTAACCAAAATTATAAACATATTCTGTCGCAGTTAGCAAAAATGTTCTCCCCAAGCCCCCTACCCCCTCCAATAATATCTCATGTTTTTTGTAGGTGTGGCATATAATATATAGTCACACCCATATTTTGTAAATAGTATTTAGTTATAGATTTCTTCTTCGTCGCGCTCACCGTCTGTAAACTGTGATGGAAAGATCTAATTTTTCATCCACTTCTGGACTCTAGCCTTGTTCCAGAACCTTAGTGTTACATGCACATCCGTTGTATAGTCTGACTCATTTGTATGCAGACTGTTGGTTCCTCCTCTCTCAGGCAAATTCACTCTGACATTGAAGGAAGCTTCCAATGAGTCCACTCTGATTTGATTTGATTTGATTCAAGAACCGACATCACAGCACTCGGGGCATTCCCACAAGTGCTCCGTTCCCATCTTCAGCAGCCAGCGAAGAGTTCCGATACTAATGGTGCCAGTAGCATTCTGATTAAACTTCCGTCTTGCCTTTCCTCTGAGCCTCGAGCATCTGCCAGAACCTCTCATAATGAGTCCACTCTTTCGACATACTTCTTGGTTCACAGTTTAGGTTTGGGTTTAGATGACAGATCAACAACATGGCGCAAGTGTGGTAACCCATAAAAGATCCGTTCAACTTCTGACCCAAGCCCGAGTCCGAAGAAACTCAGCGTAGTACACAAACTCCTTAGCACTGGTGAGAATCCTGAAATACTTAAGGTAGATTTTAAACTAAAAATTTTGTCTGGGCAGCGCAGTTAGGCTACTCTTTTCGAATCCAACTGCCAAGAGATGTTTTACGGGTCATCTTATACTTCATTCTAAACTCACTGTTGTACATTCTCAGGTGGGACAGAAGAGTTAGATATCGTGAGGAGAGAGATTGAGCTACTCCATCCCAAGTGTGGAATGATTCTAGTTGGCTGCAGCATGGGAGGCAACATTGTGGTCAAGTACCTGGGAGAAAATGTCAAGCGCCAGACTGGGATTCTGGCCGCTGTGTCCATTAATCAGGGATATGATGTCAACAAGTATGTACATAATTACCTTCTGTGTACATTATGTTATAACTCTTGTGCTTGCTTGGTGGTGTTGACTCCATGTGTTGACGACTGAATTTGCAGCCAGTGTCATGTAGTGTTGATCTCATTACTTCATTGATGAGGCATAATAAACTATTTTCTGTTTTATTGACACATAATACACCATTCACTAGTTTAACTTTATAGGGCATAGTGAACTGTTTAGTGCTTTATCCCTAATAAGGCATCCTTGTTTCTTAAAGTCTTTTGCCCCAGGAGCACTAAAATAGGACTCTTGAATCTATAGATATACAGAGCTGGTCTAGTTGATTCTTGGTAACTTCCATTTGGTGAGTGCCTAGCTAATTTATTAATCTCCTTATGAGCAAAGATAGTGCCTCCAGTTACTACAATCATAGATCTGACTGCATACTAAATTCAGCTTATTGTTCTCCATTTTAGTTCACTGTGTTAACTCCCTAATTTCCCATTGCTCTCTCAACACCTATGATTTCACTACCAACCTTTTGCGTTAAAATCTCCCATTACTTTTACTAGGCCATGTTGAGCAAGTATATTTACTTGATGCTGCAGTTGGTCATAGAAGTGATCTTTATCCTCAGTCTCAGGGTGATTAGTTGCAGCATAAGATTGCTCATTTTGATATGTCTAATATCAAACCTAGCTTTAATGATTCTACTTGAAATAGGCTCCCATTCTAGCAAACATTTTAATATGTCTAATAATATCAAACCTAGCTTAAATGATTCTACTTGAAATAGGCTCCCATTCTAGCAAACATTTTAATATGTCTTATAATATCAAGCGGCGTCCGTGGCTAAGGCGTTGCGAGTCCGACTTGTAAGCCAGCATACTGCGATCGAAACCTGCGTGGATTTTTATCGTGGTATGGGACGTCGCAGGTCGACCCAGCCTAAAATGGGTACCATGATGGGCTGTCCTGGGAAAGTAAAGACAGCCGGCGTAATGCTGACCACAGAGTGCTGATGGTCTGTAAAAATATGGGACGCTCTGCCCATATGCCCAATGCGCCGAAAGGCGTGAAAAGGGAACTTTACTTTTACTTAATAATATCAAACCTAGCTTTAATGATTCTACTTGAAATAGGCTCCCATTCTAGCAAACATTTTAATGTGTCTAATAATATCAAACCTAGCTTTAATGATTCTACTTGAAATAGACTCCCATTCTAGCAAACATTTTAATGTGTCTAATAATATCAAACCTAGCTTTAATGATTCTACTTGAAATAGGCTCCCATTCTAGCAAACATTTTAATATGTCTAAAATCAAACCTAGCTTTAATGATTCTACTTGAAATAGGCTCCCATTCTAGCAAACATTTTAATATGTCTAATAATATCAAACCTAGCTTTAATGATTCTACTTGAAATAGGCTCCCAGTAAACATGTTACAGCTCTGGGTGTCATCATAATGGCTACTCCTTCCATGTGTTTTCTATCTTCTCTGCCTGAGTATATAAGGGTATGCCCACTAACAACTCTTTTATCGGCAGCTGACTGCCCTAACTTCATTTAACCTTGAAATATCTCTTTGGTATCTTTTCATTACTTCTACCACCTGGGTGTATTTTGTTGCCTGTGCTATAGTCCTATTTTTGTTTGAGTCAAGTAGAAAGCATGTCTGGGCCACTGACTTCCATTTTATGTGGATTAAAAAAACTGCACAAAGAAGTCACAAACAATAGATTGCACGATTTATTGCCTTGCATATTTGGCTGTATCTCATCAGGTGCATACTACAGTAACAATTACATAAATGAAGCAAATAAGTGAATCCTTTAAAAACTGTATATATTTTGTTTGTCTTTAATTTTTTTAAATTAAAAACAGGAAAGCATTCTTTCATGCTCATAGTTTGTTTGATGGCACTTTCTTTGGTGTATCTTGGATGTGTATTAGATTAGATGTAGTTGAAATTTATTTTGTATAATTACAACAGGGCCAAACCATTTCTGTTATCCTGGCAAAACCTGCGGCGAGCCTATATTTACGTGATGACCAGAAACCAGAAAAACATGATACGCCGCCACAAGGAGCAGTTGTTCGATGAAAACATCAAATCTTCTACTGGTATCAATGAAGATGAAGTCTTTGCTGCTTCCACTATAGCAGAGCTGGATGAGGCATATACAAGGTTTGAGCATTTGTCTCCATTGTCAGCTTTGTTGTTGTTATTGGGTCTCCATGGCGAGGTGGTCGGGCTGTTTGCCTCATCCTCTAAATGCTGTGGGTTCTTTTTTGGGCTCCATCTTTGGCTCGCAAGATCAGGTGGAGATCACTGGAAGGGGGGAGGGGGTGTTGTTGTTGCTGGAGCTATGTAGTTTGTGCTTTGTGTGATGCTCTTAGTGGAGGAACAGCCACTCTACTAAGAGAGATCAAGCTATCTAGGAATAAGCCTGGTGCAGTGAGGTCAATCTTCCCATCTTTAAACACCATGATCTCTTATAAGGCTAACCTGGTGGACTAATACTCGATGGAGTCGGATGTGTTGGCTGAAAGGTGCAGATATCCCAGCTGTAAACAGGTACAACACAATTACCTCACTCAGACGAATGAAGAGAAGAAGAAGAAACACCATTAACTGTTGTTTTCCTTTTCTTTTGTCTTAACCTTATCAGACCTCAGGCCCTGAACCTAACTGCCTCCTATACCTGAGCTCCTGGGCACTAACACAAAAAAACCAACATGATCTACAAAAAAATTAGTTACATGCAGACAAGTGGTTAGAATAAGATGAAATTTGGAGACAATGTAGAAAATAGGTTAACCTTTTATCTAGCGCCAAGATTCCACCTTTGTGTGCTAAACCACCCAGCAGGATCAACCTTGTTTCACAACGTGAACACTAGATGTTGTTGTTTGAGGGACACACCCCCTTCTCCTACTTTCAATCTGTTTCTAGATTTATAATTTTCAAGATTCTCCTTATCACTCGAACTCTCACTGACTGTGTCACTTCAACTGGGAACATATTCTTCTTGAAGTTATGACTCCGCAGAGTCTGAATCAACCAAAGTATCGATCACTTCTTGGACTGTGAAAAGTCTAGACCTACTTCACTTTCCTGTCCAAGTGCTTGGTTCATCAGCCACTCATTTTATTGTGAATTTTTAGAATTTTTTTTAAATGTAAAACACAAAGTTTTTCCAAACACATGTGGGCATAAAATCTAGAGAGACTATCCACAAGATCTGATTACGATTGGCTAGTTATTTTTAGTTTGTGATGCATTGTTTTCTCATAGTACGCAATTTCTGACATTGAGGGACAGCGGTTTAGCGGCAGGTTAGGAAATTCCCGTAATAGCGGGCCAGCGGTCTGGTAGAGTTAAGAGTAACCAGACTTGATAGCAGTGGAAGCAGCACAGTGTAAGTGGGGACATAAATTGATGGATTTCATTCGGTGGACCTTTTATTATGGTGACGACACTTGATTAATGACAGCCTGAAATTTACTCTCTTAGCTCCTTCAGTTGCAAGGAACACAACATACATTCATATGTCCCTACCTAGGAACTGCAATATGCGCCAATTTGAAATCTCTCCTAACTACCCTGTGGGTGTCTGATGCTAAACCCCCGGGACTGAACGAGTTAAGGCAGCATTTACAGGGCCATAATTCTAATGAAAGGATCTGTTGATAATTGGACAAAATACCATCCACTGCTGTTACAGGCTGACCTGGACATACAGCTACGTGCTCCAGTGTGCATGTATCAGAAAGCAGTGAGTGGCTTTCCTGAGATGCGGAGGATGGCCAGCATTTTGGAGCAGTTAGCTTTTTTAGTCCCACAGGGTTTAGCATCAGAGGCCCAAGGGCTAGTACAGAGAAACTTATAATCAGCATGTAATGCCTTCATTGGGCTTCTAGGTATGAACCTATGAGTGTATGATGTGTTTGTTGTGACCGCAAGAGTTAATTGACTCAGTATTGTTGTGTGTTGCTGGTCTGAAGGCCTTCCCAATGGTAGCCATAATATTGCCACATATTTAAACAAGTGCAGTGAAACCTGAATCCATGTTTCTAGTTCATCCTTTAATAGCCATGTTTAGTGTGTGCATCAAGCCTGGATCTGTTTTTAGCTTTTAGTCAGTTTGGTTGTTTGATATAATTGACATTGTCTACTTTCTGTCAGGCCAGACTTTTTCTAGTGTGTGCATGCATACCTTTGTCACCAGGAATTGTCTGGCCAACTGTTATATAGCAGTGTTGAGCACATGTATCAATTTGTCCATGCTGTGACACAAGCATGCCAAGAATTCTCTCTGACTGGGTTCACACACCCATACAGGTTGATATTAAAAGATCCTGAGTGCTGGATCTAAGAAAATGCCAAATTTGTTCATGATTAAATATGCCGTATATATTCAACAGAAAATGACCTTCTATGTTTAAGTACTTGGAAACCCTGTATTACAGAAGTTAAATGTAGAACAGCTCAAGCGAAGGCAGCATTTTACAAAATAAAGAAAATTTTATGCAGTCTTTCTTTGTCAGTTGAGACGAGAAAGAGAATTCTTAAAAGCTATATAAATCCTATATTGATATATGGAAGTGTATCATAGACAGTTAGTAAATTATCAAAAACTAATTTGGAAGCTGCGGAGAAGTGGTTTTATAGACAAATGATAAGAAACCCTAGACAGATTTAAAAAAAAAAAAGAGTAATGAAGACGTCTTGAAAGAAACTGACTCACAAAGAGAAATGATTGCCCACATCAGAAGGAGACAATCTACATTCTTTGGTCATGTCATGAGAAGTTGAAGACTGGAGTACATTGTGACAGTAGGAAAGTTAGAGGGGAGGAGAGGCAGAGGGAGACTGAGAGAACAGATGCTGGACAGTTTGAAACCGTGCCATGGAGGATCACCTGTATCAAAAGTTGAATGAAAAGTACACAGTACTGAAGGTTGTGGTTGGACATCAATGACGCACGGCATGGACTTTAAGAAAAATACAGGAAACAGAAGGTTGTGGATAGACATGACTAACAACACCACACTGCATGGACTTTAAGAAAATATAGTCCTTTAAATAAAGAAAATTAAACATTAAATTAGAAACAAATGGAATCTTAATATTCATCAATTAAATAACAGTTCTACAGAAAAGCTGTCATTTAACTTTTTTTTCAGAATTTTGTTTAAACTAAATAAAATATTTTCTCAGAGTTTTAATTTAAAAAAAAAATCCTTAGAATTTTAGTTCAGCTAAATAACAATTTGGCCCTCCAAACTCAACAAGAGGTATATCGATGACGGCATCTGTGTCAACTATATGCCCCTGTCGGTACTGTAGGACATCATTGATTTTATGAGAAGTAGATCAGCTAAGTTGTTTTGTATTATTGTTATTCATTTTTTTAGTGAACCATTGTAGATATATGTATGGGCTAATGAAGGCTCTCTGGTGACAGCATTCACACTTGTCATTTTTGTGGGTGATACTGTGCAGCTGACTGGTTCTGCTTTTCATTTGCCTGGTACCAGGTGGGATAGACTGAGCTGTGGCTGAGAGCAGGGCCTAGAACAGAGACTGAGCTGGGGCTCAGTGAAGGGCCTAGATCAGAGACTGAGCTGGGGCTGAGTGGAGGGCCTAGATCAAGGCTAGTCAGCTGGCAACACATGGGCCGGATCATTGCCACTTGTACTGTTTTAGTGATCTTTCTGTGCTGGGTCTCAGGCCTCTGGCCCACAACGATCTCCATTTTCACACTTTTGGCCCTTGAATAAACTTGGTTGAGTATTCCTGGCCTAGATGATCTTTGGTAGTGGTGGGGGGGGGGGGGGGGGTAGTTCTGTTGGGTTGCTGCTCTGGCAACAACAACATGACAAATTTTCGTTGGCTTTTGAAGAGGGGAGACAGAGCATGTATATGAATGTCTGGAGTGCAGTGATGTCAGTTGTTAATGAATCCATTCATGTGCAGTCAGGTATTTTACACTTGAAGTTTCCTTGTCTCTAGGCGACGCCATGGGTATGAGAGTGTTGAGGAATATTATCACCACAACAGCTGCTTTAGTGTTTTGTCCAATGTAAGTATAAGAATTTTGTGTCCTGCCATGTTCTGGTGATAGTTATTTGTAAATGTCATTTGATCTGTTTGTTTCCTGCTTTTTGTTTTGATTTTCTTTTTAAAATGAGTGCTCATTGACTTTGTGTCATTAGTAAGTGTTTCCACCTTCATGGCAGACAGGTTACTCATATCTGCTCTATTCCTGTGACATTGAAATCCAAGGGAAGAAATTGTTTTCCTCTGCAATCGGTGATCTTTTGTGAGACCTCAAGAAGTCTTTCTTTGCGCAAACCTTATAAAATCCTAGTTTCTCTTTAACTGATTTGCAATACCATTGTTTACTGACAGTTGCAAGGCTAGTTGTTGACTAGTGATTTGTTTATCTGTAAGAATAATGCGGTATGGAGTTTAAAGATATCCGCATGACTACCATGGGTTTTCATATTTACCCCATCTGCTTGTTTTTTTTTCATAAGGTGGGATGATTTATTTTTATTGTCACCCCTTCCACCAGTTTTAGTAACTGCCTTTCTGGTAAACAACACAGAAGGCACATTCCCTGTCAATTACATACCCAGAGAAAAGGAATTGATGTCCTGTCAAAGAATTGGGTTCTTTCCTTTTGGTTGATCTTGACACACTTGTGGAATCTGCATTTAATTTGCACATAGCCATTTAGGGGCTATATTTTGATACTCTGTGACCGAGCTGTCTTTTCAACCAGTGTAAGTTAACTAGCACTTACATGTAAATGAAAATAAGCAGTTAGATTGTATGTATAGAGAGACAGTGGTTCTTTTAACAGTTGGCTTGGAATGAAAGTGGACTTATGACAGTCAATAACTTGTGTCTGCATGTTTTAAACTCACTAAGGGCACACAATAAGAAACAGAGACAGAAACATAAGCAGGATCACCAGAGACTTACCAACATGATGACAGTTGCCCGCTACATGGAGTTCTTAGAAAAAGAAATATCTGGGGTGATGATAAGAGTGTTATTATCTCTTACGGCAGTGGTAAACAAGTTTTGTTTTTCTCAGCCTTTCTCTTATAATGTCTTATCTGTATACAGGTACAGATACCGTTTTTGGTTGTGAATGCTGAGGATGATCCAATTGTACCCACTGCACTATTGGAATGCCCTCTCCAAGCAGCCAGTAAGTACCCTTCTTTAATATATCTGTGTCTCTTCTTCTCCTCCTTCTTCTTTCTTCTCCATTTTCTTGTCCCCTTCTTCCTCTCATTCTTCTCTCTTATTCCCCCTCCCCCTTCCCCCAGCTTCTTCTGTCAGTTTCTTCATCGTTATAGATTAGGTGTGAAACAGTGTGAAAGATAGAACACCTCATGGCAACACCATGATGTAGTAGAGCTTGCTTGCTGTCAGGTTCATCTGTCTGTGCTCCAGTTCTTCTGTTGTAAACTCTTCCATTCACTTTATTGTTTCTTAGTTTCCCAGTAAAGAGTAACTCCAATGGTGCCATGCCAATATTCCTCTTTTTTTTTTTTTAAATGTGTCCTGTTTTTTGTTGATATTTTTTAGATTCGCCCAAAAAGTCAATATTCGTCCCTCCTCCTGTGTGGCTGTCGAGTCATCAAATGAGGAAAGAGAAGATGGTGGACCGGTTCCAAGTGCTGATATAAAGAAGCGGCTGTCCACTTGGGCAGAAATACAGATTTTCATTGAGAAATGGCACACAAACAGCTATAATTATCAAGCATATTATTTCATTTCATGAAGATGTATTTAGACATTTTCGAACAATTTTTACTAATGAACAAAACAAACAAGATTGGATAGCGTCTTTGAAGGGAAAAAAAAAACAAGAACTCGAGAATCGTCTGGAATTATCAGTGCATGAACTACCAGATGTGACATTACCTGATGTCATAATGGAGGATGATGACTCCCTTTCCAGTCTATTCTTGTTTTGTTAAACACATAATCAGAACAGTTTATTCTTGTTTTTTTACCAGAAAGTCTGTCAAATATGATCTTTGTGCTGACCAAACATGGAGGCCACCTGGGTTTCTATGAGAAGGGAATCCTGAGGCCAAACAGTCTTACTTGGATGGACAGGTGGGCGTTTATAGGATTATTTATTGTATCAGTGAATGTATGCTTGCCAACTAACCCAGAAGTCAGTTGTTCGAATCCTCTTCAAGATGAGAATTGTAGATGACTCCAATGTGGTCTCCTAAAATAGGGACTGGAAATCATTGATTAAGCATCCACGTCAGAAGCATTCACATTGGGAATTTATTGTTTGAGCAAAACGTGTATTCTTTCTTCCCCCAAAGATGGGACCTTGGAACCCACATGGGGACTTAGATGATACCAGTTTCAGGCTGGGTCGATGTCGGAGTCCGTTTGGCTGGTTTTGTTTCATTTTGTAAATCACTGCTCTGGCAGGGGCTTCCTAAACATGGCTGCTGAGTTGAAAGACAGGTGTGCTGTCTGCTACTATGATTTCATGAGTAGCTACTGCTGCAGACACTTTATTTTAACCCATTGACTTCTTCTTCTTCTCTTCCACCTTGTACCTCATCGAAGTGTCGGGGGGAGATGTAATGTTCGTTGATGAGCTCTGTCAAGAGCACTATTAAGACTGATGTTAATTTCTGTAAGGCTGTTCTTAATGCCATCATCTTTTCCGAGGTCTTCCACTCACTCTATACCCGTTGTAACGTTTTAGTGTGGCTCGCTGTGGCGGATAGTACCAGGCCATTCTTGTTAGGTGTCCAAACCACTTCATTTGTTGTTCTTTGATGACCTGTAAGACTGGCTTTATTCCTAGCATTCGTCTGATTTCATGATTTCATATTCTGTCTTTCCTTGAAACTCCTGCAGCTCTTCTAAGGCATTTCATCTCTGTTGTCACAATTTTACATTCATTGGAGGATGTAAGTGTCCACATTGGCCAAAAAATAGTTCTGATAAGATTCACTTTAGTACTCTGAGGTATCTGCTTGTGTGTCAACAGGGAGGATAGTTAACCCGATACTTGATTACCTTTGGCACATCTGGAGCTAATTTCTCTGTCCAGTTTTCCGTCGGATTTGAAAATTTCTCCCAAATACTTAAATTCCTCTGTCTCAGGGTGTTTTTTAATTTAATTTTTAAATTGTCTTTATGTCTTCCTATCATCATTGTCTCTGTCTTCGTAGTGTTGATTTTCATATTATTTTCCTCCCCTTTGTTACCAGTTTGATTTAGCTGGTTCTGTAGGCATTCCGTATTTTCTGCTATGAGTACCTGGTCGTCGACGAAGAGTAATTCTGTAATATCTTCTGTGTGATTAAAGTTCGTTTCACTACATATGGTATCCATGTATGATATAAAAAGAAGCAGCGATAGTACACAGCCCTGACGCACACCAGAGTTCACTATAAAAGTTCTTGTCAACCCTGCCTTCCATCTTATGCAGCATTTACTACGTGTGTATCCATTGACTACTAACTCCATTAACCCTTGCACTTTCCTGGTTAGTTGCGTATCCTTTACAGGACGTTGCAGAACCAACCCCAACAGCCCCTGGCTGTTGTGTGGTTTTTCTAAGCAAATTTACGTCCAGTAGTTTGCCATTGCTTTCTGGACGGTCGGCTTTTTGGATACCACTGTCGAAACCAGGGCAAGGCATTCGCATCGACTTAGCCACAGAGCTGACTTGCACTTTCCTAGATACTGTATATTCTAGTGTTTACTAAAAATGCCATAGCTTCACAACTGTTTCACATAAACTATTAAGATTTGGTATTTTTGCAACAGATTGAATAGAGAACACATTCCATGTCAAAGTAGAAGTTCTTCAACGTCATCAATCAATCTTCTCCTGTGACCTCTTGCTTCCACATTGAATCTTTTTATGTGTAGCACCTGTGTTTGTAGTTCTAGCTGCATTCAAAAGAAAGGACCAAACCATTTGATCTCTGTTACTCAATGAATTTGGTGGTAATTTTACATGTTTTTTTTTTTAAAACCTAAAAAGAATAACAGGAAAATATCCTGGAAAGTGAATGTAAATATTAACTCTGTTATGAAAGTGTGGGTCTAACACAATATATCTGACGCTCCTAAAGGCAAGAAAAGAGTTGCTGACTTTGTTTGACTGCTTTGGTTTGACAGTCTATGTTTGTGGCTTAGGCTTTGGCAAATGCGCTTTGTAATGCCCTGGTGGCATGTTTGATCACAGCTGTGAACGATATGGCAGCAGACCATCTTGCCTTGCTTTTGGCAGGAGTAATGCAAGTCGACTTTTCAGTAAGAAGTGGCAAACTACTGGCCACATTAGCGCATTCGATAGGAGATTCACTTTCAAATCAAGCTGCAGCTCGCTGCAACCCATGGCCTGTGTTTGAAATCGGGCGGTTCCTGGGGTTCACCCAGCCTCTAGGTAATTTAACTCTGGGGTAAATGGAGGAACTTCGCTGTAGCTATGGAGTTATATGCGGACGGCGACATAGGCCGACAGTTTCTTATCAGCTGTCCGTACTGGTGGCAGCGCACTTATGGTTTATAACCGTGTGCAATGATGCTGGTTCACATCTCCCGACTTTACCTTTAAACTACTGAATGTAAATTTACCTAGAAAAACCCACAACAGCCAAACAATTCTGGGGTTGGTTCTGCAACATCCTGTAAAAGATACACAACTGTTTTGTTTTTGCTAGTTAGACATTTGTGTAACATGTGTTAACATTCACCTTTTATTCCCATTTAGGCTCATTATTGAGTATGCAAATGCAATCACCACACTACATCAGGAGGGGACTCTGCCCAAGTCACCATATGATGCCATTACTAATAGCACAATGCACCCTGATGATGATGAAGAAGAAACACACACCCATGTAGCAGATGTCAGCCAGGGAGAAACCAGTATATCCAACAGATCCTCTACTACCAAAAAGTCACCTTCTGGATGTGTAGCTAATGGAGTCTATGAATAATGTTGCAGAATTTAGTGTTATGTGTTTGTTACTAGTCCTCATTCATTGTGATATTTTCTTCTCTTCTTTCAAATGTACAAGGAGTGATCTGTCCTGTACAGCCCAGCTTGATTGTGGTATCACTCACTGTTCATCACCTGTCTTGTACAGCCCGGCTTGGTTGTGGTATCACTCACTGTTCATCACCTGTCCTGTACAGCCAGGCTTGATTGTGATGTCACTCACTGTTCTTCACCTGTCCTATACAGCCAGTCTTGATTGTGGTGTCACTCACTGTTCATCACCTGTCCTGTACAGCCAGGCTTGATTGTGGTATCACTCACTGTTCATCACCTGTCCTGTACAGCCAGGCTTGATTGTGATGTCACTCACTGTTCATCACCTGTCCTGTACAGCCAGGCTTGATTGTGATGTCATTCACTGTTCTTCACCTGTCCTGTACAGCCAGGCTTGATTGTTATGTCACTCACTGTTTATCACTTGTCCTGTACAGCCAGGCTTGATTGTGGTATCACTCACTGTTCATCACCTGTCCTGTACAGCCAGGCTTGATTGTTATGTCACTCACTGTTTATCACTTGTCCTGTACAGCCAGGCTTGATTGTGGTATCACTCACTGTTCATCACCTGTCCTGTACAGCCCGGCTTGATTGTGGTATCACTCACTGTTCTTCACTTGTCCTGTACAGCCAGGCTTGATTGTGGTGTGTACAGCCCAGCTTGATTGTGATGTCACTCACTGTTCATCACCTGTCCTGTACAGCCAGGCTTGATTGTTATGTCACTCACTGTTTATCACTTGTCCTGTACAGCCAGGCTTGATTGTGGTATCACTCACTGTTCATCACCTGTCCTGTACAGCCCAGCTTGATTGTGGTATCACTCACTGTTCTTCACTTGTCCTGTACAGCCAGGCTTGATTGTGGTGTGTACAGCCCAGCTTGATTGTGATGTCACTCACTGTTTATCACTTGTCCTGTACAGCCAGGCTTGATTCTGGTATCACTCACTGTTCTTCACTTGTCCTGTACAGCCCAGCTTGATTGTGATGTCCCTCACTGTTCTTCACCTGTCCTGTACAGCCAGGCTTGATTGTGGTATCACTCACTGTTCTTCACCTGTCCTGTACAGCCAGGCTTGATTGTGGTGTGTACAGCCCAGCTTGATTGTGATGTCACTCACTGTTCATCACCTGTCCTGTACAGCCAGGCTTGATTGTTATGTCACTCACTGTTTATCACTTGTCCTGTACAGCCAGGCTTGATTGTGGTATCACTCACTGTTCTTCACCTGTCCTGTACAGCCAGGCTTGATTGTTATGTAACTCACTGTTCTTCACCTGTCCTGTACAGCCAGGCTTGATTGTGGTATCACTCACTGTTCTTCACCTGTCCTGTACAGCCATGCTTGATTGTGGTATCACTCACTGTTCTTCACCTGTCCTGTACAGCCAGGCTTGATTGTGATGTCACTCACTGTTCTTCACCTGTCCTGTACAGCCAGGCTTGATTGTGGTATCACTGTTCTTCACCTGTCCTGTACAGCAGGCTTGATTGTGATGTCACTCACTGTTCTTCACCTGTCCTGTACAGCCAGGCTTGATTGTGATGTCACTCACTGTTCATTACCTGTCCTGTACAGCCAGGCTTGATTGTGGTATCACTCACTGTTTATCACCTGTCCTGTACAGCCAGGCTTGATTGTGATGTCACTCACTGTTCTTCACCTGTCCTGTACAGCCCGGCTTGATTGTGATATCACTCACTGTTCTTCACCTGTCCTGTACAGCCAGGCTTGATTGTTATGTCACTCACTGTTCATTACCTGTCTTGTACAGCCAGGTTTGATTGTTATGTCACTCACTGTTTATCACCTGTCCTGTACAGCCAGGTTTGATTGTGATGTCACTCACTGTTCTTCACTTTTCCTGTACAGCCAGGCTTGATTGTGATGTCACTCACTGTCCTTCACCTGTCCCGTACAGCCAGGCTTGATTGTGATGTCACTGACTGTTCATGACCTGCCTGCTGGCAGTTCTTTATCTTCATTATTTATTTCTGGTTATCCTGTGAACTTTGATTTACCCTGAATTCCAGGTTTACATATCTGAGTAAATTTTTTTTTTTTTTTTTTAATGTGAAGCTTTTAAGCCCAGGTTTTCTATATGAGTATCTAAATAGTAAGACTGCATATCCTAATTATACATTGGTCAGTATCCAAGATAGTAAGCTATGCATTTGTTGGTATTTACTTGTTTGACAGATAATGAGCCTAAAAGTTATACATTTGTTAGCTTCCGCAAAATTGTTAGCTTAAAGATCAGACATTTCTAGAATGTTAGGTTTAAATGTGTTTCAATAGATTCACCATATCACAACATGCTAGAGTGAGTTATTTTGTGGGTGTCCTCGTAGATGTCTTGACAATCATTGTCTGTTTTTCAACACATAGGAGGGATATTTGTATCTCTGTGTCTCGTATAGAATTCTAAACAGAGATTATATGTTTTTATCGGGACTTACTAGAGGGAAAAGGATGTATAGATGTCTAAATAATTGTTTTTTTTGTGTGTGTGTGACACATTTGGGAGAAATGGCATTCTCTGTGTCTCATAAAGATGTCTTAACCGTCACTGAATATGTCTTCATCATGACACACTTGGAGAAGACACTGTTGTCTCTCTGTCTCACATAGAAGTCTAAACAATCAGTGGTCATGTCTCACCATCTAGTCTGACCAGGAGAAAACACTGTTGTCTGTGTCTCATATAGAAGTCTAAACAATCAGTGGCCATGTCTCTTCATCTAGTCTCACCAGGAGAAGACACTGTTGTCTGTGTCTCATATAAGTCTAAACAATCAGTGGCCATGTCTCATCATCTAGTCTCACTAGGAGAAGACACTGTTGTCTGTGTCTCATATAGAAGTCTAAACAATCAGTGGCCATGTCTCTTTGTCATCACACACTAGGAGAAGACACTGTAGTCTATCTGTCTCATACAGAAGTCTAAACAGTCAGTGTCCATGTCTCTTTGTCATCACACACTAGGAGAAGACACTGTTGTCTGTCTGTCTCATATCTGTGTCTCAACAATGTGTCAATTAGATTAGACATAACTGTTAAAAAAAAATGTGGTCAGAGTCTAAAGTTTTTTTCCCCTAATATATTGTTATATTTGTTATGGTATATGCTGTACATAATCAGTATCTAAAATGCTGCGACGTACAAGGTATGTCATTTGTGGACATTTGAGACAGCGATATTTCATATGCTTGATTAAATTACCTATGATTACCTGTATATTAATAACAATGTTAAGTGCTAAATTTAAAATGAAGTTTAACCACAGTAAATATCCATAATCCTTGTTTCTGGTCTTAGTGATAGTCTCTAATAGCCCATTTCTTGATGTTGTCTTCCCATTGATAGCATTTGTCACCTAGTTGCCCACGTGCCTTCTACTTTTCCCTCTCATATTACTTTATTCTTATTTTTACAATCAGGGTATTGTCTCTACATTTGTAAAACTGCACATAGCATACCTGCTGTCATTTATGAGATATTTATGTTACTTGGCTGAAACTGTCAGCTGACCAAATGCTGTTGTTACACAATTCTCATCTATTCAATTGCTGTGAAATCAAATTATGTTAAGTGTTAATAATTACAGACCAAATGCTGTTGGGTACAAGGGAATTTCTCATCTATTCAGTTGCCGGGAAATCAAATTATTCTAAATGTCAGTAAATACTGACCAAATACTGTTGTAGACAAGGGAATTTCTCATCTGTTCAACTGCTGGGAAGTCAAATTATGCTGTCAGTAACTACTGACCAAAGGTTGTATTATTGTTGTATTTATTCTCAGCACACATCTGTGAGTTAACTCATTCAGTACCAGTAGGCTCACCACGAGTCTGTTGGTATTTACTTACATGGTTTGTTTTTCTTAAATCTGCCCTGCTGTTGCACTGACCAATTCTGCTGCAGTTGTTACTTTAACTTGTTCTGTCTCGCAGTTATAATATTTTGACTTTTCAGATTCACTTGCTTTTAGTGACAACTTAATTAGGATAGTATGAACTAAGTAACGGCTTAACAGTCTAGAAGAAGTTGGAATAACAGTTATATAGGCTAGAATATGTTAAAATAGCAGTTATTATTATTATGCATCTGTCTATTTGGCTATATGAACTAAATATAAGGTTACAGTGAGTTAACTCTTTGAGTCCCGAGGAACGCATCATAGGTTCATAGGTTCCTACCTAGAAGTCCAATGAAAGCATGATGCGCCGATTTTATGTCTCTCTTTACTACCCCCTGGGCCCGTGATGCTAAACCCCCTGGGACTCAAAGAGTTAAAGTAACAAGCGATCATGGCAGAAGGTCTAAAGGTAGCAAGTCATCATGCCAGAAAGAATTTAGGCAATAAGTTATGGCAGAAGGGGTTAAAGTAGTAATATATCATGGCAATATAATTAAGAAAAGTGGATTGAAGAACCCTTTCATGCCTCAGGCATACAGGGCTAAATCTGTGTTATATATGGTAATCAGTTCTTGGGGGGGGGGGGGGGAGGGGGGTATTTATCATGGTAGAAGAGGTTAAAGTAATGATTAATCATGGTAGAATTAGAAAGTAACAATTTGTCATGGTAGAAGGGGTTAAAGTAACAAGTTAACATGGTATAAAGGTTAAAGTAAGTTATTCTGGTAGAAGGGGTTAAAGTAACGTGTTATCATGGTAGAAGTGGTTCAAGTTATGATTCACTATGTTAGATGATGGTTAAAGTGGTGATTTATCTTGGCAGGAGGGGTTAATGTAATGATTTATCATGGTAGGACTTAAAGTAACAAGTTATTGTGGCAAGTGGAATCACAGTAACAAGTTATCATGGCAGATGGAGTTAAGGTAATAAGTTAACATGGTAGAATGAGTTTAAGTAATAATGTATCCAAGCATAAGGAGTTTCCGTAACCCTTATCAAAGCAGAAGGAGTTAAC